GACTTTGTGCCCAGAATGCCAGCTACTGGAGTGAGTGGGTTCTTTTACTCCCGGAACTAGTGCAGGAGCAGTTTGTGCTCCCAAACCAGCTACTGGGGGGACCAGCATGAATGAGGTGAGTGCAGGGCTCCACATCAGTAGATGGAGTGGGGTCACCAGTCACAGCCATCTGTTGGTGGGTTGAGTGTCTGTATCTTCCCCAAGCTGGCTCGTGTGGGGTGTGCATGTGTATTCGCTAGCAAATTTTAAGCTGGACCAGCTGGTGGGTAGCAGGGACCTTGAGTCTGGGCCTGGGCATCAGGTGAGAGGAGGTCTGTGCTGTTACACCTAGGGGGACTTGCAGATATGGTGTGCATGAGGGACGGGTTTGTGAGTGCTGTGTGTGCAGTGTGCATCCAGCTGGGACAGTCAGTGAGTAGGCACCCCGTGTGGTGGGTAAGGGTTTGGGGTGTGGGCTGACTGCTGGGTTGGCAGAGGGGCCATGCCAGTACTTGAGGGATCCACAAGTGTTTATGAGCCTGGAGAGTGGTGGGTGTGCATCCACACCTGCAGCAGGGAGGAAGCACTGTGTCTGTGCTTTACTTGAGTCCTGTGCAGGCCACTCAAGTGCTGTTGAAGGCAGCCCACGGTGGGGACAGCCTATATGACCAGTCTTATCAGTGTCCCGTCTGTCAGTGAATATCTCTGGGATATGTGCTCCACATTGGTCCACATTGAACCTACAAAGGGGGAAACAGCAGCCATATCCCCCAGCCTGGGCAGAGACCCTGGTCCCAAGGCTGGGCCCCAGCAATGGGCAGGAGCTGTCCTGGGCCAGACTGGCTGCAGGAGGCAGCCACACCCTGCACCTCATTTAACGAATAGTTTCAAGAATATCCATGACCACAGCATGAAGTGTAAAATTTTAGACACCTTTTTTAAGTCAACCTGATTTTATATACCATATATTTTTCCTTTAGCATTGTATTGGGTCTGTCTGAGCTGGAGTCACCTTTTCCCTGCAGCAGCCCGCACAGTGCTGTGCTCTGCACTCGTAGCTGGAACAGCACTGGTATCACTCCAGTGTTGTGCCTATTGCTGCATAGTGCTGACACAGCATCAGGACTCCTCCTGATCCCCCAAGAGCCAGCAGGCTGGGGGTGGGCAAGTGATGGGGAGGGGACATTGCCGGGGCAGCTGACCTAAACCAACCAAAGGGATATTCCATAACACCTGATGTCACACTCAGCAATAAAAGGGGGGGGCTCTTGTGGAGGAGGGGGCTGTTCCTCCTGAACAACCACTATGCGTTTTGAGGCCCTGCTTCCCAGGACGTGGCCGAACATCGCTCTTTGATGGGAAGTAGAGAATAATTTTTTTTCCCTCTCTCTGTGCTCCCGTGCGGACTTTTTTTTTTTTTCCCATTCCCTTTCGCTTTAATTAAACCTTTCTCATCTCAAACCTCGAGTTCTCTGTGTTGTATTTTCTCCCCCTTCCTCTTTGAGGAAGGGGGGAGTGAGAGAGCAGTTGTGGTGGAGCTTGGCTGCCCACCTGAGTAAAACCACCACAAGCATGCAGAAAAATGTTTTGGAAATCTTAAATAGCTTAACGTTGAAATTATTTTAAGACTGCAGAATTATTCCTGTAGAAGGAAGAAACATAAAAGCTGTAAAGAAGGTTAAATATATATATATATATATTTGGTACAAGACTAAAGAACTATGAAATAGTAATAAATATCATATTTCTGAACATCATCTTTCAAAACATATTTTTGAAAGCTATCAATTAGACTACCATGACTGTTTCAAATATTCTGCTTCCTGTGTAAACCTAAGCAGGAATAAAGGCAAGTCTGTAACAACTATTCTAATTAATCTTTTTTTTTTTTTGGATAAAATATAAATCTTCAAGATCATTCATGTATGAAATTATTCATAATAGCCCTATATAAATTCAATTAAATTTTATTTCAGGGTTATAAAATTTCAGTAATAATGCACTAAACCAAAGTAAATCATTGTATTTTAAATGGCAATATATTAATAGGCTTTTAAAAATGCTGAAAATAGGAAGTCAGATCACACCTGTATAAAATACTTCCAGAGAAACACCAGATGTTGCAGTAAATGCTACGGTTATATAAAAGTTGACATTTTTTCCATTGTGGTGTTAGTGCTCATGAAAACCAACATGATGTTAATGATATTAATCTCTTGCAGATATGCTCTTTCAGATGAGACCTAAAATTTAAATCCCACTGCTTATGATCATTAAAATCTCATTGTGTTTTTTGAAAAAGAATGATAATGAAGACATCTTGTCTAAAACTAAATCTATTCAGCTTTCTCATTATTCATTAGAAGTCTCAAGTTATAAAGCAAGATCATCTTCTGCCTGAAAGACCTTTACAGTGTTCTGTGTGCTGTTAATAACTGTATTTGTCATCTTAGAGGTGCTGTATTATGGTAGTAGAGTTCTCAATTATGTGTACTTTTCAATTTTGTACACCTTTTCTCTTTGGTCATTTTACTTTTTAAAATTTTAGCCAAAAAAACTTGCTGTAGCTGAAGAATCTACAGTCCTTTCATAGTATATCAGCACATAGAGTTTTTAACATAATATAATACAATAATAGCCATATGCTGGTGTCTCTGCATGGATAAATCTGTCGCTTCTCCAGTCAAACAGCTTTAAAGAAGCAAGAAATAAATCAACAGCTTCCTTCCAGACTTTTGTTAACTCAGATGAATATAAGAGCTCTGATAAAAGTTTAGAATTCAGTTGTGGAATCTACATTATCCTTTTAATTAGCTTTCTCCATTGACAAAGTACACATGTAAATAGGCTATGCTTATGAATAAACAAAGTTACATACTGTGCATTAAAACAATTACTGTTTTGTGCTAAACACTATGTATAGCTGACCTCTGCATTAATTTCACTGCAGGTGTACTGATCCTTCTGATAAAATATTACACTGACAGTTGGCAAACTGTTAATAAAGGTATTACTTTTATTCAGGTATAGAAATGATTTATTGTAACTAAGATTTATTGGGAGGAAAAAGGAGAAATGTTTGTCTCTTTTGAGAAATAGATGCACTTATATTTTGTTGTCCATAAACCAATTGTAAATAAAATAATATTTCCAATTTAGAATTAATGCTTTCAAAACTGCTTCTTTGAAATGCCTGCTTTACAGCATTAACCAACTATACTAAACATACCCAATAAAGTAATTGCATTTAATGGACAATGGGTTTGTATCTGCATGTCAAATGGACATAAACATCACATCTCTGAGGGTACTAATGGGCCTGACTCTTGTTGCCGACTCCCCTGGGGCTTCCCCTACCCTCTACCTTTGGCTCAGGACCCCATACAGGAGCATTGCACATAGCTGTGCTGACAGGAGTCAGTGCAACACCCCTGCTGTCCCTCCCCGCCCCCTGCACCCCCCCTCCCCCTTACCTTGAAGTTCATAAGTTCATAAAGAGAAAGAGCAATTGTACAAACTACTGCACTGAACTAAAGGAATACAAAATTTCAATATGCATATTGTATTTTTCCCCATTAACTTCAGAAGTTATTTATGGTCTCTGATAGACTTACGTGGATTTGTTGTAATGCATTGTTTTCTATGTAAGTAAAAGCAGCAATTTCACACTCATAAGTGAAAGCAGATGCTGAAAGCTGTACAAGAGCAAAAGAAATATTTGTTTGACCTGTTTTTGAGGCATTGGAGATGGTGCACTAATTCCATATTTTACCTTTAAAACTTGCTTCTGTATGCTAATACAGAAGTTCAAAATTTGAAATCATTATAGTTTGTAGGATTTAAAATTGTAAAGGTATTATTATATCTTACACTCAGCTTCTCTAATACTGACATAATTCCAAGAACACTACATTTATGCTACTGCTTAGAGATGCACCAATCTAGGTTTTGCAGACAAATTTTCATAGCTATCTGCAAGGGTATCTGCAAATCTCCAAATGTTTAGCACTACACAGGTATTTGGGCAAGAGGAGAAAACTTTACACAGCTGGAAACTTTTCAGGATCAGGCTGCAATTTAAGGTATTCAAGAGAATTTCTTTGTACTACAGTACCTTCCTAAACTAAGATACAAGCAAACTAAGGAGAAAAGAAAGCCTGAGAGAAAAGGCATTTAAGAAAGTAGCATGCCTATCATGATCTAGACCCATGAGAAAAAAAAAAAATCCTGAAATAATAGCTTATTTATTTATTTATGTATTTAAGAAGACTTCTAAAATATGGAATAAAAAGATTTAACTATTTTGAACCAATGCATCCCATGAGAACATTTTAAACATGGAAGCATTTATAGTTAATGCTTCACTGGATTACAAAAAAAGTTAATGTTTTTCCTAAAGATCAATGATTCAGACAAGTGTCATAATTTCTAGGCTTAATTAATTTTTTCAGTCTGTTCTTTCTGAATGAATGTTTAAATGTGTTATCAAATGTGTAATAACAAAAGACATTGAGTATGCTCTTCCACAGAATTCCCTACGCATGAGTTGTTGGATCATTTTGCTGTGATACGGATTCCAGTCTCCGTTCTAGTGAAAATTCAAATGGGATTTAATTTAATGTTGATGAAATAACATTGACATATGAAAAAAGCTAATGACAGCCCCTCTCTGGTGATATAATAAATCTGCTACCAAATACTTCATTCATTTGAAGCTGTCCACCCCACCAGAACCACAACTTTAGCCATTCTGTGGTGTTTGTTGAAATCCAGCAGATATTAAAGATACCAAAATCTGTAACTAAATGATCACCTGTGATCTGTGATTTTATGAGGCTTGTCTGATTTTGTCTCCAGTATCCCCTGACTGTAGTAAGCAAAAAACTAAATGCATAAAATTATCTTAGGAAAATTAAATTGTACTGAGGCATCTCCTATGTTTTGAACAAGGTTCATTGTATCTCCATTGACACCAGTTAATGTTTAAACATTTTAGGAGGATGTTAAAAAAGCTCATAAAATCACAGTCATTATAGTCTGGGGTAAAGTTGTGTGTTTTTCAAGTGGAGCACTAAGTTTCTGTCTTTAAATGTTGGGCTGTTTTTTTATCCCTTACTACTTATAAGGGGCCCATTACTTTACTGAGGAGGAGATGGGAAATAGAGTATACAGCCAAGGGACCTACAAGTGCCACTTTACAAGGCATACACCATTCAACCAGGAACACTAAAGGGATTAAGAAGGTAGCTTTGTATTTTCTCAGAGGTACAGTAACATAAGCACCACACTGGATTGTATGACAGTTACTATGGTAACTTCCTTCTTTTCCTACCACAAAAACACACATTTGCCTGCAGAACAAACCAAGTAATTCAGAAGCATGTGAGGCAGGTTATCAGTAATCCTTTCAATTTAAAATGTTTTCATTTTTTTAAATCTAAGTCTGTTTTGAATGCTGAACTCTTGTAATAGATATTAAAAAATATTTAGTTCTTGTATGCAGAATAATCCACAGATTCTTTCAGGAGAACTCACATCCTGAGACTGCCATGAACAAGTTGGTAAAACAAACAAGATAGTAAGATGTAAAAGAGGGACAGGATACTGCAAGACAAAAATCTAGTTTAATGAGTTTAAACTCATTAATCCTTAAGGACAAATTAGAAGTGTGTGAACAGTTATAAGTGACAGAGATGGAAGGTCCAAAGATGGAAAACTGGTCCAAAAATTTAGTCATAGTTGCTAGAAGACACATATGCGGTGACATTTAGGAATTGGAGAGAAATTCCCCGCAACAGGAACAGTCACACAAGTGAATTAAAGATATGAAGTCACACAGGAATAATGACAACAATATTACATATAATATAATTCTGCAAGATAAATAAGCACATTTTGCTTACATTATATATCCAACAATGTATATAATAGGGAATGATATCAAATATTAAAAAGAGAGGCAGGAGGTCAGAAGCACATTTTGAGAGTCGTAGTTTAACAAGAGCTTTCGGTCAGTGAGCATACTAAACTTGCCTTCCTTGGTAAACTTTTAGCCTTCACTCCAAACATTCATCTTAATTATTGAAAACTGCTGAGTTCCTGACAGTGGTTACAATGTCTCAAAGGAAAGCAGTAGGAATAATAAGAAAAATAATAAAAATAATTTTAAAAAATCTTCATTTTTCAGATGTCACCCCAACAAAAAATGCATCTATGCATCTTTTCTAAGGAATCTGTTTCGATCAATTTTCATCAAATGCTCATTTGGAGAAGTAGAGCTAAAACACAAACTCAGCCACTACCAAAGCTTTTTTTTTTTTTTTTTTTTTTTTTTTTTTAACTTGATTTAGGACAAAATCTATATACACTAGTACAGAAACATAAAGACTGTTATTCATACTATGGCAGTAAGACAACATAAATTATACATTCTTACACTGCCTCGATATAAGCCTTATATATGCAGAACCCATATCAATAGGATAAAAATCGCTTTAAACTGAGAACAACAAGATCCATCTTTTAAAATGTTTCTACTGAACTCCAGTCTCCAGGCAAAATGAAATATATTTGAAGCATCCCTCAACTGGCAATAGCTTGTGTCAAGAAGTGTTAGCATTGCACTATAGATAGGTTGATAGGTCCCAACTATCAGTCAGCCAGCCAGCATGTCTTCCTGCTGGAGAGGAAAAAAAAAAAGTGAATTAAAGGAACCAATATCATTACACTGCCATTCAAAATGTAAGGATCTTCAGGATCTGCATCACATATGTATATGGCAATAGTTTTGCAGGGTAATGAGTTTGGATGGAAAAGGAAAGGAAAAAGAAAAATAAAAGAACATTACAAAACTTAGTTAGGACAAGTTCTTTACCTCTTCTGAAATGCCTGTAATAATTTGTCATGAGAGAGAGCCTGCCAACCACAGAAGAAACAGAACATCTTTTTGCTCCAGAGCTCCAATGCAAAGCCTAGCCTTGAAGAATACAATATGGATTGCTGGAACTTCATGAAATGAAGTCCTGAAATGAAAGATGAATTAGACAAAGTCATCAGAAACAGCACTTCTATTTTATTTTACTGCTATTTCAGAATAGCACAGACTAAGGATCGTATATGGATAGATTAGGAACGGACAATACTGATTTAATTAACACATGAGTTTTCAACTCTTTTGTGCTGGTTACCACCAGAATGTTGGAAGTAACCCTCAACTTTTTGGTAATAGAGAGGTAAATAACTTATATAACAATATATAACTTATATATAAATAACTTATAGTTTTGGCAAACATTTGCTTTACAATATTCTAAAATGTTAATTTGACATTTCATCTGAATCATTATTATTATGAAACGATCATAAGAAATATGATTTAGGTAGAAAGTACCTTTATTTCTTGAACATACATGGCTTGACTGTTTTAACCCAATTCATTATTCAAGAATGGACACAGTAGAATGCATATCCAGCTTTTATGTTTTCAAAATTCTGTTGTTTCATAGACAGACCAGTGCCTACATGTGGAAATAGCAAGGTAAACATATTGTTACATATCTGAATAAGTCCGTTTTACTTTACAATTCCTGAAACTGTCTTGTTGCCTCTATGGCCAGCAGGGGGCAATTACCAAGATAAACTCTCTCCTCTCACAGATAAACTTGATTGGATATAGGTATACAACTATATATTTATCAAAACAAACAAACAAAACAAAAAAAAAAATACCAGAGACATTCGATCCTGCTTAACAAGACATCACAAATCTACTGATTGGACATCCAGGAGCCTTGGGAACCTGGGTTTGGTGTGTTGCAGAGTTTGAGTCTGTATTTCCAAGATTTTACAGGTTCTCCATTCTAGTTCTCTCTTTAAGGGTTGTAATGACTCTGCTTACCTGGGAGAATTACAATCCAAAAAGTGGCTTTTCATCTCCCATATGTTACATTCTCTTCCTTTGCTACCACTTTTAAGAAGTCTTAAATAACACAGTGAAAGGTACATTTCTCTTTCCATGTTTTTGGTTCAGCCATAAGTGTCACTTATAATGATAAAAAACTATCTTGCCTTTCATCTGAGCAGGTGAAGCAAAAAAATGTTATTATCATAGCTTAGAAAGTATTTTTCACTGAATTTCTGGTCTTACAGATGTATATTCATACTTTGAGGTATTTCCATCCATATGTTGGGCAGAATTAAACATCAAAAGATGACAAATTCAGCAATGTAGACTTTTTTTTTCCTTGTCTCTCTCTCTTTTTTTTTTTTTCCTATAAATCACATATTTCTAAAATGCTGAGTTAAAAATATCTTTGTGTGGAAATTTGGTAATTCTACTTCTGTTAACATTTTATTCTGACAGCTGCAGTGCCTTTGAATTAAGGGTAACTTCATCAGAAGTATGGAGTTTGATGCAGCTGTTGTAATTCTGTCTATTTGCATATAGTCTCCAAGTAACACCAAAATTCAGTGAAGTGTTTCTATATAGCAATAAAAAGTATTATCTTCATAATTACCCCTTTGTCAAGAATAGTCAAACTTCCTTTACCTGAAGCACAAGGGCAGCCCCTTATTTATTTATTTATTTATTTATCTATTTATTTATTTATTTAGTGAAGAAAGCACTCTTGTGTATCCTTTATAAGAGCTGTGATTTGTTATGATTTTGAACTGGAAGATAATTTTTTCTTCCTAAGAAATGTCAGATGTGTTATCTTAGGATCTAATATTTCAGTTCCAGTCTCAATTCCCCTTTCTTGTCACATACCTTTTTGCATTGATGAGTTTCTGAGACAAAATTATGTGACTCTTCACTAAAAAAAAATTAGTTTCTTTGTTACATTTGAACTAGGAGATCTGCCAGAAATACTAAAAATAATAAATAAATAAATAAAAATTTATTTAACAATAATAATATATTTCTTTTTATGGGAGAAAGAATATAATGATATAATTGTTCATTGTCTGAGATCACTGCCTCAGCCCAGATAGCCAGAATAAGCTGGTGATTGTATGTTACCAATGTACATTCACTGTATGTTCACATTCAGTCTGAAAAGTCACATAATGAAAGGACGTTTCAACATCAATGTTTCAACACCACTGTTTTGACCACTCCTGTTGATATCAGGTGGTTTGTAGGATAAAGTCTGGTTTACTTTAAATGCATACCTTAAAAGATTTAAAGTCCAAGTCCAATAAAGATGCGAACACATATCAGGTGTGGACCTATCTTGCCAAGAGGAGTCCAGGATAATGTTTGACATCTGTTTTTCTCACACAGTGCATGAGAAGATTCAGGAACTTTAAAATGAGCTAAGGCAGTGTGGTGACCAACTGCAGACAGAATGCTACAGTACTACGAAATGGAAAGTCAGAAATAGGAGTTCTAAATCATGCACTTTCTGAACCTGTTTAAGGGCTCAGGAAGGAAAAACACCTTTCAGAAAAGATTCATAGTTACAACTCTTTCTGCTGGACTTATTTATTTATTTGTTCGTTTGTTTTCAGAGGTGTTAAATAATGTTATGTCAAAAATGGAGATGGGGTAGTCTCTCAGTTCTGCATCTGCAGATGCAGAACTCTCCTGCAGATGCAGAACCCTCACTGTCTGGCAAACCACACGTTTCTGATCGTGGCCCCACGTGGCTCTTTAAGGCCTCAGAGATTGCTCGCCAGGTGCCGAGCAATTCCACTGCAACCTTGTCGTGTTTAGTTGCAGAGTCTTGACTCGGAGACCTTGACCTCAATTTGGTCCCATATTTCAGGATCATAAACTGTCTGATTGTTAATAAGGAGAATAAGCTGTAAGGTTACCAGGACAGTCTTTGTTTCTAAGGACGTATGATTCCCCATAATGTGCAACTGCTTACCAGCGAGGGGCAGTTGTGTGCGCGGGTCTGCTTCTCTGAGCTTGAGCTTCTTTCCAGCTCCAGTGCGCCTGTTTCCAGTGACTTTCTCTATGAGCTTCTCTGAGCGGTTTTCTGAGTCTGGCCGAACCTATCTTCATAAGGCGATCAATGTGTCTGCCGTCCTGGTCCCTGTTCTGCTAGCCTGTTCCTTTTCAATCCTTCTTTCTGCTTCTTTATTGATGACGTAACTTCATCACATCGTGTTGCCTTTTTTTTTTTTTTATCTTGAGGACAGGCTCCCCTCTTATACCCTTCTCCCCACAGCAGTCCTTTTCAAAACAACTTTTCATTGGTCAAACAACTTTGAATATAACAACAACAGCAAACACCCAGAAACTTCCATGCCTTAATGGCTGGAGAACAAGCAACCTGAAACTGCATGGAGTCTCCTGAATCACCCTTCTTTGTTCCCTCTAAACTCTTTTACATTCCTGATGGCCTCATCGTTAAGTCTAATGTTATCTCAACCACGGGGCTTTCCGACCTCCATGGCCACAATCCCAAATTTCCCCTTTCTTTATTAATATCAACCATTTTCTTGACACGAATTACCACTCCATATATGACAGTAATATGAAAATATGTTTCTCTTCAGCCAGGAGGAGTGACTTTACTACAGAACCACGATACTATCATGTACAGTTTCAAAAAAGAGAAACCAAGGGGTTCACTGCCAGAATCTCTTTCTTGATCGCGCTTTTTTTTTTTTTCCTACCTGGCTGGTTACTCCCATGAAGGATTGCCTAGAAGTGTTTGAGTCTTTAATTCACATACTTTTTTTCTCTTTTTTTTTTTTTTTTTTTTTCAAATATTTTCAGGATTTCACCCTTATGAACAACACTATTTGAAATCCTAGAAAATTTCAGGGGAAAAGGAAATGATTCTTTTGGCTTCTTGTAGTTGTAGCATTCCCTCTCTTTTCAGTTGCAAAATTGCTTACTCAACAGAAGTCCAGTAACGTCACAGCTAGCATCTAAGTTACAAATGAGATCTTTTAAATCTGTTTACTGTACAAAGTATGTTATCAGCACTTGAAAAAATATAATTTCAATTACAACAAAACATACTTAGAGATTTAAGTATGTAAGACTGCTATTTAAAGAATGCTTAGAATTCTGAAAGAGACCATCAATTAACATTTTACTAGGAATGAATAAACCAAACTGAACTAAACAGAATCTGGACTTGAAAATACAGAAGAACCAGGGTTATAACTAAACTATTTTATGATAAACAGAACCTTCTTATTTTTTGAAAAATATCTATGGACCAATATGTGCACCCAACTGCCTTTTCTTTTTTAAACAATGAGGTTTAATTAAGCAAATTAAAGTGTTTTCATAGCTGTGCTTTTTGTTGATCTCACTGTTTTTTATTAATTTCTTCTCTTTTCTATCTCTATTCTGATTGGAAAAACTAATACTTTTAAATTTTGTTTTTCAAAATAAAGCTGTAAATAAACACCAGTGCCCTGAGACCTATGAGTAATTTAATATGAACTAATGGGATTAATGAGATTTTATTGGGGGTAATTCACTCGCTTGAAATATAAGTTTTGAGTTTAATATCCTTGTATTTGTATTTAAGCAATCAGACTGCACACAAAACTGAAAAAAAAAAAAAGCAAGAAAAAAGAGAAAAAAAAGGTCTAAAAATAGATGTATATAACAGATAGGGAGATAGCAAGAATACAGCCTGCAGTGTCTTTAACTCCCTCAGAAGGTACAAACAAGATGCTTGTCAAAAGAATTTTCATATTTCTTTTAGGGCTGTCACTACTGGTCAGATTGTTGCAAAATGCTGAAAGAAATTTATTCAAACTTATGGCCCATAGCAATAACAAAGAAATAGTTTTCAATAAAGATTAAACATGTCTTTTAAATGTTATCCTACATGCTGTCTGCTTGGTTCAAAAAACCTCACATACCTGAAACCTTTCTCCATTTTTCATGTTTTATTTAAACAGATATCACAAAGTGTTCTCAACTGAATTCTTGCACTGAAAGTGCAAAAGTCAAAAAAAATCTTACAAAGTGGAATCCCAGACCTATTAGCCATAAATTATCTATTACATATATCTTGCACATATAAAGAGACAAATATATGCAATACTGTATTGCATATGACAAGAAAATAGCAAAACCCTCTTAATTCTTAGCAGATTAGTCATTTTTTTTCTCACATTGGACAAATCTTCCAATAACATGTGAACATTCTTTCTTGTGATTCATGCTCTGTAATTATAATAATATTTTCAATATTCATTTTTGTCACAAGGCTCAAGATAAAGGTCTGTGATGATTCCTCTCTTTTCATAGTAATCACACCAGATACTGACTGAATAAAGTTACCAGCCAGCAAGATTTCCTTGCCAAATTGTTCACGTTTGTATGATTAAATTAGTCTCTCCAGCTATTCTACTTTGAAATCCAGCTGAAATCTTCTGAAAATTAAGATGAGCTTCTGCAAACCAATCCATAACTTGGATAACTATAGATAAATTGCAGTCTGTTAAAACTTCACTGGCATGCCAATGTCTGGATAACACTTCCCATGTTAATTATATTCTATAATTCTTCTTTCTTAATTACAAAGTACAGTCTTTGT